GACATGTTACTAAGGGGACGGAAACGCGAAGCTGAGGGTCGCGGACTCAGCTGTGATTGGCTTGGTGCGGAAAAGATACTGAGAGAACATTCGTTATGGAACGGAGATGGTCAAGAGGTATATATCTTGTCAAACGATCCCATACCTCTTCCGCTTAACCCTGCTCCGCGGAAGTCGACAGCGCCTACCGCGGAAATCTATTGTTGATCCGTACATATTCCAAAGAGGATGTCGCGTATACCCATCTGTGTCGGTTATTCGAATAGCCCAGCATGGCATGTGCGTGGGTATTCCTTAGACTAAGCCTAATCTGGGCTACCGCATCCGCGGCTACGGACATGCTCCTTCTCTCTTCGAACCGATCGCGGCAGGAGCAAGAAGTGCGAGGCACTTTCACTGTTAAGAAAATGGCGCACCCGCCTAGAAGCTAGTGTAAGCTTTTCTTTCGTATAGATATTAACACTCACACCCTCATGCTCCACTCCAACACTCTTTTCCCTTTGCGCCCACTCCAACCCAGCCTTCGCCGCCACGACAATCGCAATATCAATGATGTCAGGCAATCCCAAGGCGACATCGCCCACCCTCCACCTGTGGACTCTCGATCCTGTCATCCGCGAGCTTCAGTCATGTCCAGCTGCTCGTGCAGCAGAGTTCGCGGATCTCATAATCCCAGGCCGCATCAGTCTCCTCAGTGTTGAGAACGGCAATGTTGTCCAGAGTTCTGCTACTGTTTATGGTGCCTCCAAAGTCACTGACATTCCGGAATTGACACTGTACAAAACAGGCGCTGGTTGGCCACACCCACGCTCGCTGAAAAAGATACTGGAGAAGCACCAGTCTTGGGTCGACGAAGCGCAACTGTATCCGCCTAGACCCCCTCCTCTTTCTCTCCGTTTCTTAGAAGGTGACCAAAGTCCGGAGAGTATAGCTCGAACGCTTGTGGAATACCTTGACGATCAACACTATGCCGCATACGCGACGACGCTCACATTCCGATCGCCTGTAATAGACCGTTGTCTCAGACTTTTCCAGGGCGAGAATGAGACTTCGAGTACGCTCACCGGGTTGTCCATAGACACCACTTCGATCATGTCCTGTGGTGCTCTCCTTCCCTTGGAGGCGTCAGCCCTTATGAGCACCAGTACCATACATGTCATTACCGGTGTGCGCGTATACATCGTATATCCGCCTACGCCACATAATCTGACGACACTGAACAACTATCTCATAGATCTTGCGGGAGAAGTCGCGCCAAACTACACAAGTGTATGCCATGAGTTGGAAAACGGTATTGCCTTTGTTCAGCGTGCCGGCCAGGCTGTGACTATACCACCATGTTGTCCAACGGTGGTGTTCGCAACCAAGACCAGTGCCGCTGTTACCGTCCGTTCTCGGTGTGTGGAAGACCTGCCGTTGCGACTAGAGCATCTCGATATCCTCATGGCTCAGATTGTATCAATACAGCTCATATGCCGGCAACCGCCAGAGGAATCATTGGAATACCATACCACACAGCTGTACAAAGACATAACGACCGTTCTTAGAGCGCTGGAGCCGAGTGGTGCCAATCGCGCGTTGCTCTTAGCCTTGGGCGCTGTGTGGGGTAGGGAACACTCTCGTTTCCGTGGCCTCGTGGACATTTACGTCGAAAAGGCGCTGAGAGAGCATATTCGCCGGAATATTCCAAGAGTGTGGAGCCTAGCTGTTCAGCACCAAGGCCTCAGGCATTGCCCTGTCTGCAGGGTGAGCATTGAAGATCTGGACGTAGTGTTCATCACCCACTTTCAAATAGAGCACTGGTATGTGGGCGGATCCACTCACCCAGACAAGGAGGGATTGATATCTGTTGCGGGTGAGGGTTCGCGACAGCTCACTGGGGATAGCGACATGTTAGACGACGGCGATCACTCTGCTCTCGTCTGACCGCCGGGCAAGTTGGCTCAATCTACATACTCCAGTTCCGATGTTGATGAAATCTATACTGCCGATGGACTTCTGTTATCAACTGACAGCACGATACCGCTGTTTGGGGAAATGGACTGGATCGCGGCCCAGGTTGCTCTGGAGACATTGGAGGCAAGTGTGCAGATCGCTGCACGGATGGCGAAAAGGGATAGAAATTTTCGCAAGATAGCTCATCCGTCGGAATGACCTCAGAGTATGTGACTTCACGTTCTTTGACGAAGTCGAGTTCCTGGAATCGGATGTCAAGGCGGATCGGAAGCGGAAATATCCCGCACTAGCCTGGACTTGGTTAGCGTTGGCGTATGACGTATGCAGGCACCACTGAAATCATCTACCACCTGAACTGAGCGCATCTCCCCAAGTTTTGTTGCCTTTAACATTCGGTAATTTCACGGATTTCAGTATAATGATTGAACATGTGATATGTAAATGGGTATCATATACGAAACGAAAGACTTTTCAGAGTACATACGTACATCCAACCGCCACATATTCACAAGTCACCCAATCCAAGTCCAGCCTAACTGTATGTCCAAGCGATTACATCCCATCCGGAGATTTGATTATCCAGTAGAGCCAGAGTTTCCAACGACTTTCTCCGAGAACAACTCCCGATCTTCTCATCAAGGCCGCATTCCCAGTGGAGATATCATCTTCTCCAAAGGAACGTGCGGTCAACTCCTCGTCTGGGGTATGGTGAGGCTGATATCGTCAACCGTTAGGTGTGCCAGACTTAGGATTACCGGCATCTTCTAAAGCATGAGCGCTGCTCACATGTCTCTAGCGGTACATCCCGTGCGAGCACCCCCGCGGCCCAGAGAAAGAGACGGGCGTTTCGTACAAGTATGGCGAAGAAAGAGTCGGAAGACGCGATGATCGCCGTCCTGGTGAGGTTGATGATCGTGAAGCGGCTGACAAAGTGCTGGACGATGACGATGACGAAGATGCCGAGCGCGTTGAGTCGAACGAAGAGCTTGGAGAGACGTCTGTTGATTGGAAAGGTGTTGTGTTGGACATGTCAGACAGTTCGAGACCATCTTCTGGAAGCTGTCGACGCCGACTGGATCGCGATTCGTCTTTGCGGAAGATTTGGGGTAGTTGTAGAAGTTCTGACAATTGGAACATGATTGCTGATGCATTACTACGATTGCGGACAATAAGCCGCCTTTTCAACACCAGATTTGTTCTTTGTAGGACAGGGATATCAAGGAAAAGACCTCAGATCACAGGCTAGCGTTAGAGAAAAGACAGTCAACAAAAGCGGTAACATCTCCAGCTCTAGTCTTTGAATCGCTCTCCAGGACTTTACCAAAATTCTGCTCTTGCCAGTCTTTGTACGCGCAACAACGGTGTTTTGCGCTGGATATCCCGCTTCCGTTGGACGTATGACGTTGTGTCATGTAGCAAGCCGGCGGCAGCTACGTAGGCTATTCGGCTCAAGTCGCACGACAGAATGGTTTTCCTGGGGAAATAGCATTTGTGCCAAACAAATTGCCTCTTGCGACTTTTCACTAGCAGGACTGAGACGGGCTGGGCCTACTACAATTACGCCACTAAGGGTCGTTGGGAAGACTAGAGAAAGCTCTGATTTGGGGGAGCTTTCAAGGGGCAGGAATAGTCTGCGAAGCATCGAGCAACATGAAGCGACGAAGACGACGGAAGTCTGTTTTTTGTCATGTCCCGCTCATGACATCGGCATACCGCATCTCATTGTAGGCATGATGCCGCATTCCACGTGGCATAAGTCACGGGTAGCGACCGCGGCAGCTTGTTACCACACCCAGCGGGCCGATCAAGATTGCTTAACTCGACAAGAAGAATTCACATGAACCGGAGGATCTACCCAAAAAGGAACTGTTGGACGCAGCTCTCGATCCCGACGGAATGTTCTAATCGAGCAACATCGATGATTGTCGTAATTATGGTCGATCGAGCCGCCATATTTACGATCGCTGCTATGTCGATGCCCTCGGTAGATTACGATGAGCCTTCCGCTGGGCGTGAAGCAACGTACGCTACAGCAAAACGCCATACCATCTGCGATTTAGGCTACAGTAGCAGAGCTTCGACATACATTGAGTCGTACAGACCGCGTCTGCGGGTGGCATCACTATGGCTATGTTTGCCGAGATGATTGGCACATCTGTGTTCCCACAAAGTATCGACAATAACGCCACTGTTGCTAGCTTTAACATAGCATACCTCTTAAACAGGAAAAACCGTCATTTATCGTGGGATCAGGGGAGAAATGACGTGTTGCTGGTAGACAAAGTTCTGGCTGTGGGTGGCTTCGTAGTAGTATGCTATCGTTCCATGAAAGTATCCAGTCAACGGCATGCTCTCTTTCGAAGCTACATCATAGTGCAACCCGTACACCACACCCGCGGCAGCCGCTATGGCTCTCGAGTCCCCCCTTCCCCGCTGAACGCTCCCGTCACTAGACCGGGTTGTCGGGATGTGACTCGCTCAAACCGTTGCACGAAAGCATTGCTTCGCCACTGAGGACTCCGCATCGATTATACGAAGGCATCATCAATCTCGGGCGGCTGCTGGATCGAAAACCCTTCCCCATACATATCAATACGCGGTGTCACCTTTGCACTGCCGACGTGACACGGTATACGATTTGGGATGGTCATGGTCTGAAGGTAGCAACCTAGGACACAGTCCCCTAAGTAAGCCTACCCATAGTCCACTCACCTTCATCTGCAAGGACATAAAATGACGTAGATCATAATGAACCCCTCCACCACTACGAGCCGAACGGTCACATGTGCAACCACTGATTGGACAAAAAAGTCAGAAGAATGATATGCTAGTAATACTCTCCATCTCCTCGTTGGAAGATACGGGAGAAATCGAGAAATGAAAAGCAGAAAGCAATCGCTGATATGTATGAGGGATCTACGATCCGTAGATACCTCCAAACTGTACTTTTCCCCGTCGCATTCACTGCGTTACCTTCCTACTTCCTGGAAGTCTGCATCAGCTTCGGGCTTCGTCGATTTTGCGGCAGCGAACGGATGGCGTCCTCAAACGTGGGTTTCGTTCTGCTCTTTGACGTGAATGGGCTTCTTGTCCTCGTCGATAGCCATGTCATCCGGAGTGGATGCGCTAGAGAGTTCCTGGCTCTCCGATTTGATGCTGTCTTGCCCGTCCATCTCAATCTTGACCAGCGCTCGCAAGCTGACCATAGACTCAATAATCTGCAGTGCAGTTCTATGGTTGATCTGGCCCTTAACGTGCTGCCATAGTTCTGGATCAAGATACCCAGCAAGGGCGTCGATGACAAGGCTCTTCAGGTCCTTGGGCGCGTTCTCGTCCTTCATGGCGTGTTGGAAGACGACCTCGATGATATCGTCAGCGGCGAGCTTTGTACCATAGCCTAGCAGGGTTTGAAAAGAGGTACCGTCGGCATCGGCGCGCTCGATGCTGGCGTTAGTGGCGTTGAATAGCGCTGTGTGGCATTCAGTGGCGAGCACCCCAACGCCAATCTGTGAAGCGAGCTTCATGACAGCGTAGGTTTGTTCGGTCTCCATCAACGGAAACTTTCTCTGGTACATCCATTCCATAAGCGCTCGAACTGTGGACTCTCCAACATCGGGGAGTATGATGCGGTGCTGAGCGGCAGCCTTCAAAGGATCTTTCTCAGCGTTGCGGATCTCGGTCTTCTTGATGGCGTGAAGTCGGGCGAAGAGCAGCGAGGCTACGGCATGTACGGCCTGAGGCTTGAGGTTCTCCAGACGGCTCGCTAGAGGCATGTCCACTGCTGACTTCGGCACCACCTTCTTGACGTTCTTGGCGTGGGTTTCTCCTGCTACGGCGTCCATGATTACGCTTTTGACGCCTTTGGAATATCCGAATAGAGGATAGTTGTCATATGCTTTCATGATCAGAGGCTTGGCCTGTAGAATGTCAGAGTTTGACCGTCAAAAGCGGAAGTCATGCAAGGAAGAGAACTGAACAGGCCTGTAGCCCACGTGCGAAAAACCATCACCAAATCAGGAGATGTATCGTCAAGGAAGGCTTATGGTGCTGAGCTCTTCCTTTGAACCGGGCGGAGGGGCCGCTGATGCTTCGGTGTCTACATCTGGGGTATACTGACAAGACATACCTGCTTATCCAAGAGATTGGTTTCGAACTCCTTCGGAGTGACCTCAGGGAATACATATTGGGCCAGCTCATCGCGGACCTTATCGGCTTTCTCGTAGTGGATCATGGTGGACTTCGCTTTCTCGAATAGGTTGCTGAGTTGCTTGCTGTGGCAGCAAATCATCTCTTTGTGGAAGATAATCTTGGTCGCGAGGTCCGGTCCGCATTCGATGTTGATAGGCGTTCGCATGAGCATTTGGGGCGGGGTGATATCGACGAGATCTGGAACGTGTGGTATTTCGATAAAGTCGTCACTGTTATCCATAGTAGGCGGATGCATGGAGACAGTCGAACGTTCGGCAGTAGTGGCGGGATCAATCGAGGCGCGCGACGGTGTCGCTGGAGGAGTAGTAGTCTTGGAGGTATCCATCATGAAGTGACGGGTACTTGCAGCTGTTGGTCGTCTGCGTGCGAGAAGAGGACAGTTGAGAAGGTAGGAGAGATGGCGGGAGAGGAGAGACATGGCAGTAGTTTATATGCTAGGTGCAGGCATTCGTGGTGACCGTCTCTCACCTCAAAGTAAAAGAGCCTGAGCAAAGGGTCCACCCGAAGCGGGCCTGATATAGCAGTTACTTCGATATCACCAGGGACGGCAATCTACCAACAAGACAGTAGTGTAGAGGTGGACGGTGTTACTGACTGCTGCGTGAATGATGAAGACGGTCAAGATGGGTAATGTTCAATTCTAAAAGTGGTAGCCTGCCGCAGCAGTGTCGTGACATGGTATCGATGTAGACTCCAAATCACCGCCAACTCCATCCCATGCTGTGATCAATCATGCTTAGCCGTTCGAGGATTATACTATATCTTCCTTCGTTTGCTCGCTGTGGGCAGGTCCTCTTCTTCAACCGATGGTGTACCCTCATTTCCCGCGCGTCCACTATCCCTCTCCACGTCTCTCCAAGTACTGACTAGGCCCTGGACTGTCTGGAACATGTCTCTCGCATCGTTCACCACGCCGTCTTCTCCAGGGTTGAACATGACGGCGTTGACAAACATGCGCATTAGCTCCTTCTCCAGTTGCGCAGCGTTGACTATGGCCTTTGGCGGGACATTGTCGGCCGTTACAGGCAACTCTACGACGCCTCCCATGACACCGCCGGGGCTCCCTGTGGGATTATCCGACGCGGCTGCGGCTGCGGCAACTTGCTTTGAGCCTGTTGCTATAGCCTTCTTGATGGAAGAGAGATCTGTAGGGCGCTTGATGATGTCGTAGTATCCTTCTGCATCCTTCGCGCGAACGGCCGTGTTGAATGTCGAGGCATGTTTGTGCGAGTTGATATCGTACATCATGGGTGCCGTCATGCGGGCGAAGTTCCGTGGCGCGACCAGGGTCTTGGGTGGGCCTGGAGTGCTGAAGGACGCATCGTCATTCTCTTCAAGAGAGGCCTCGCGGGCATTGCGCTTTCGACGTGACGAGAGGGATGAGGCTGGAGCTGCTCCACGTCGTCGTGTGGACATGTGTGACGGTGTTCCAACAGAACCTTCCTCTTCAGTGGGGTCCACCGAGTTTCCGCGCTCTGACTTGATGCGACGACCAGCTTGCGACTCGTTGTCACCTGCTACTGTGTCGGTATGCGAGAGGATGGACCGGCTTCGACTTCGATCCCGCACAGAGCCACCTGCTCGGGAGGAGGCTATGCTGCCGGGTCTTGTTCGTTTCGCAGGAGCTTTCCTCCGTGAGCGACCTGACCGAGTCTCGGGCTCTAGTAAAGAGTCGTCTTCTTGGTCGTGGTGCTGAGAGTTTTGTGGTGTCTCGACGTCTATCGTAGACTCTTGCTCTGCCTCTTTGCCTTTGCCCTTTGTCCGTGATTTGCGCTGCGTCTTCGCCTTTGGTGGTGTCTGTTTTGGCCGGATCAGCGGCGGTACGTCGTCAAGAGGAAGCACTTCGGGGCGCGGGCTCGCAGAACTTCCAGGTGTCCCGGTAAAGCTTGATCGTTTCCAAAGACTCTTGGCTGACACCGGGGTCGCTAGAGCGCTTTGCGGGGAGCGCGCATTCATGGGCGTGGAGAGAGACTGTCTCGCCTGGATGACGAGGGGATGCATCTGCGGCGCGCCTGATCTGCCGGTGCCGGTGCCGGGAGTCTGTATGTTTGCTCTGGGCTGCTGCCGATTGCTCGCAGGCGTTGAGACCTGAGGGTGGTGCGGCGGCACGGCGGCTTGATGGTGGACGCGCGAGGGGTCTTGAGGCGCAACTTGGAACGGTGGAAGCATGAAGCCTGCCTGGGGCGGTGGTTGGGCCATTTGCGGTTGCAGCGGGTGGTAGGGCTGGTGACCAGGAGGTGGATAATGCGCCCTCTGTTGTTGACCATGGTGAACTCCGGGTGAATGGGGCCCTGAAGGTTGTTGCATGGGGAACTGCTGGTGTGGAGGGTATGGCGGCTGGGAGCCCGGTGGACCATACTGCGGCGCGCCATTCATCGCGTAGTTCTGGCCTGGCTGGGGCTGGAACTGGGGCCCGGGAGACCCGAGCGCTGGTGAGGGCGGTTGCGGAGGATGGCCGGCATTCTGGTGCGAGCCCGGCTGGGGCTGTATGTTCTGGGGGTAGTTGTAGTTGGCGTGGGGTTGCGGCGGTTGCTGGAATCGCGACGGTGCATGTGGCTGACTTGGGTTTGGCTGCGGCGTGGAAGGCGTCCGTCGCCCATCTGAGGAGGGATGCGGCTTCTTGCGCTGGGACGGCGAAGAGTGTCCGTTTTGGTGTGGCAGCGCGGATGCCGGCTGTTGTTGAGATGGATCTGGGGAAGGCGCGATGACGGGCGCTCCACGCGTACCATTCTGGACAGGCGTGGGGTTCGGATTCGGCTGCAGCGTCTTCGGCGCGAGATGCGGCGACTTCCTGGGCAGCGTAGGACTGCGCGATGACGGTGTCCGGCCGCTTGCCTTCTCGCGCAGCTGGTCGTCCCACTCTCCGCGCTCGATGCCCTGGAGGTCGCGTTGCAGCCGCTCGTAGCGCTCCTCCTCTATCCGGATCTGCTCCGTGATCTCATATCGATAAGACGCGTAAAGCTTCGTGACGAGCTTCGGGATCAGGTGCTGGTGCTGCAGCGACTCCTGCACCGTCGGCAGACTTGGGCTATGCCTCTTTCTCTTGGCCGGGTTCGTGACTTCCCCTTTGGGACCATCGCTGTCGCCGCCCTGCTCGTGCTCGAGCTCCCGCTTCAGACGCTCGAGGTAGAAGTTGCGCAGCGCATCGGGGCTGAGGCGGCCGGGCTGGAAGTACTTGTGGGCGGCCACGTCGGGGTGCTTCTTCAGCAGGTCGGAGATGCGCCCGAAGACGGACGGGGCGACACCGTAGGCATGCAGGCACTGGAACAGCAGCAGCGACTCGAGGTTGGTGTAGGCGGAGCCGCTAGTATTCATCCCCCAGGCGTGTGCAGCGCGAGGGCGATGGGCCTGGGGCGGAAGGGGAGCCACGGCTGCGGGCGCGGTGGGCGGAGAGGCTGCTACGGCGGGCAGACGGGCATCGCATGCGAGAGTCGTGATGGGCGCGGCTGGCGGGGAAATTGAGCGAGATGGACGGGGGCTTGGTGGTGTCGAGGGAGATTGTCGCAATGTCGCAAATTGTCGTCGGGGTTTCGCAGCCCAGCCGCCTGAAGCCCCCATCGGGCGCCCCTGGCCAGAGCCAATCAGGCGCGTCCGGCCTCACGTCGCCTCACGCGAGCGCGGGGCCAGAACCAGACCTGACAGCGGGCCCTGATGTACTGTGATACTTTGGGATAGCATAGCTTTATAGCCCTATATGCCTCTACATCCTGCTGCACCTGCACCTACAGCTTCCTGTTGTTGTCGTTGTGCCCGTATCGTCGGCCATTCTTCGTCGGGCACTCGGGAGCGGCGCTCAAACTATCATTGATCCCTCGCTCCTCCAAGCTCCACCTCCGATCTACGCCCAAATTAGCTTGGGGCATAGGCGTCCCCTTTTCCTAACATTGCAATCGTCCTTCCCTCTCTATTCCAGGGTCGCCATATTATGCTTCCTCCCCTCCACCCCAGGTCTGGCTGAGTTGCATGAAACATCTTTGATCCGCTGAGCCACTTGCCCATATTTGTCTACTCTTGTACAGCCCATAAATATATCCACCGTCCCCGAGCCTCCCCACGCCGCCTGCTTCTTGCATAACCCGCTCCTGCTCCCCATCCCATCACCATGACTTCCTCGTACCCTGCACACTCGGCCACCATGGACGACCCAGACCAAGGCTGGAAGCCAAACAACCGCCCTCAATCGTGAGCTCTCCCGGCGCTAGCATAGCTCCCGCCTGTCTGAGACTGACCACGCGCGCAGCACCCTAGCCCGCAACTTCATGTCGGAGCTCGACAGCCTGTTCAACTTGGACGAAGGCCTCGCGACCCTGGACAAGACGGTCCTGGAGAAGTACGGCCCGCCCTCTTCACCGCTACTTGGAGCCCGCTGACAGGCGCGCAGGAAGCAGGCAGTCACGACCCAGACCAAGGAGCTCGAGGCCCTCGAGGCCAGGCTCAAGGCCGCCGAAGAGCGCCTCAACCAGGCAAAGAGCAACTCGCCCCCAGCCAAGAACGACACCCAGCGCGAACAAGACGCCGCTTGGTCACAAGGGGCCGCCAGCCCCCTTGCCTCAAAGTCCCAAAACATGCCAGGTGCGCTACCAGAGACACCGACTCCTACATCGACTACCAGTGCTGACTATGTCCTGGTAGAGAGGCCACTGTCCGCCAAGCCTGAGACCTCATAGTTCTACCTCTTCATACGATACCACGATACCCCGGCATTGCGCCCACATCCATGTACACTGCTTGATCTCTGCGGTTGGGAGACTGCATCTTGGAAAGGGGCATATACTTTATAATCGACGATGGCATTTTCACTTCTGGTTGGCGACATCTTTTGGTGCTGCAAGTCTTTCTTTGGATGGGTTAGCTGCAAATGCTACATAAACTTCATCTTCTCTTTCCGTTTCCTTTGTGGTGTTCTGCTCACTCCGGCTATACGGCACTAACTCCGTAGCTTCGAGCACAGGCCTTGTGTCTCGTTACTCCACGCGGTCGACTCACCACCTGGGCAGCAACTCACCCAACAGTCAGCAGCTCAACATGGACAACGTCACAGAAGCAGCGCTCACCGAATCATTCGACAAGCTCGTCTCTGAAGGTGTCATTGTCTACGGCCCCAATGAGTCTATCGAATTAGATCACGAAGGCTACCCGGTAAGCTAGTCCAGCAACGGCAACAGTCACACCAGTCCTTACTCACACCTTGGCCAGATAGAGTTCCGGATCTGCCCAGCACTAGCAACCAAACCTCACACCGTAGGCGCCGCGAACCATGCTTTTGACCAATCACGAAAATATGGTCCTGGCAGCGACATGTTCTGTCCAGACGAGCGACTCAACATCACACAGCTCAACGGCACGCACGACCTAGCACTCAACCTATTCTGCGTCGACAGGCCGCAACTACTCATGTTGACTCTGGACTCGTACAAGCGTCAGTACGAAGCCCTTGACCTAGATGACTTTGAAGTCATGTTGCAAGTGTTGCGAAAACTTCCAAACTTCTACGTCATTTTCAACTGTGGAGAGAAGGGCGGATGCAGCAGGATTCACAAGCACCTTCAGGGCTTGAGAGGGCCGCCACACGCTTTCGACCACATCATGGCTTCTCTCACCGACGCATCGAAGAAGGTACCTTTCCAGTTCTTTGTCCATGAATTCAGTCATGGCTTCTCGAACACGCCGGCTTCGACTGTTCTTGATGTGTACAAGACATTCATTGCGCGGTGCCGCACGCTCATGGGCACATGTGAGGAAGAAACACCTCCCCATAACGTCATCATGTGGGCCGATCGTCTCGTGGTTGTTCCACGTCGTAGAGGGACCACAGAGGGAGCGAGCGCGAATGCTGGGGGCATGCTAGGAAGCGTATGGATATCGGGACAGAAGCATGTGGATGAGTGGTTGAGGCTCGGCTACGCGAATGTGTTGAGAGAGCTGGGGGTTCCAAGTTGTTGAGAGAACGCGGTGATGCTGCTCGCATTACGCGCATACGAGCAAGTTGTTATTGAGGCGCATCCAGGCTGGTCAATCTCCAACCTCCTTCCCATCCAGGCACTCGCTTCGCTAAGGTACTCACCACCCTGCAGCATGTCGCCATGCTAACGAGCACCACGAGATCACGTACCTGGCATTGCCTAGACTTTGTATTTGGCCTATCTCGTAGCCAAGACAAGCCAGCGTAGTCTCCGGAACCCGCACCTGCCTAATGCGACAAGCTCAACGCCTCCGCGCCAATCACACTCTCCTACCCACGTCGTCCGCAGAACGTGCCAAGTGATGTTGTATATTAAACCGCCGTCCAGATCTTGATGTGGAGTTCCGAATTCCTTGGACTGCTAGCCTCCCGCGCTTGCATCATCTACGTTGAGCTCCTTCGAGTGTACATCTCCCGTGCTTGCAGGAGATCAGCCAGGAGTACAGGGTGAGTACCTGCCTAATCGATGCGAGACTTGGGGTAACAGGTAGGACTGTGTCCGCGGTGCTACACACTGGACGGGAAGGTGGTTTATGGGCTTGTGTGACGGTTACACGACTTAAAAGCAGGCTCTCTCTGCAACATCGTTCCGCACTGCACTGCACAACTGTCGTTGCATTCATTGCCTATCATGAAGACCACCATTCTTACCTCGGCGCTCCTTCTTTCCTCCACCGCGCTTGCCACTGTCGTCCCAAGGGCTGGCAAGAAGGTCGACTACAATGGCTTCAAGGTACTACGTGTAGCTAGCACCGATGCTGTCAAGGCAGAGATCGAGAGCTTGGCTGCACACATCCTCAACCCTGGCACATCTGCCGAGTTGGATGTCGTCGTTTCACCAGAGAATGTCGACGCCTTGACTGCCTTGGTGGCTGAGAGCAAGGTGCTGAACGAGGACGTCGGTGCAGCGCTTGCCGAGGAGGGAGAAATGAGCGTATATGCTGGTTTGTGGAAAGTCTCGTTTGTGCGATGACATTTACTAATCAGGTTCAGTTCCTAGCGAAAGCTGGTTCACCGCATACCACCCATATGCCGACCACATCCAGTTCCTCCGGGATCTCCAGGCTGGTTACACCGGTCAGTCTGAGATTGTGACAGTCGGCACCTCTGTTCAGGGTCGTGCCTTGACTGGTATCCATATCTGGGGTAGCGGTGGCAAGGGCTCCAAGCCTGCCGTCATTATTCACGGCAACGTCCACGCACGAGAGTGGATTACCTCCATGACCACTGAGTATGTCAGCGTTTGTAAATCCCTGTATTCATCTGCTAACACCACCCAGGTACTTCGCGTGGCAACTACTCACCAAGTACGGCTCGGACGCAAACATCAAGTCCCTCGTCGACAAGTTCGACTTCTACATCACACCCATCGCCAACCCAGATGGTTTCGTCTACTCCCAGACAACCGACCGTCTCTGGCGCAAGAACAGGCAGACTGTAAGCGGCAACAGCTGTGTCGGCCGTGACATCAACCGTAAGTCTTCTTTCACTTTCACCGACTCGTAAATAACTAACGCCTCTTCAAGGTAACTGGCCCTACAAGTGGGAAGTCACAGGCGGAGCATCCACAAACCCCTGCTCAGAGACCTACAAAGGCGTAGCCGCCGGCGACGCCCCCGAGCTCCGAGGTCTGAAGGCGCAAGTCGACTCGCTCAAGGCCTCGCGCGGTATCCGTCTCTACCTCGACGTGCAGTACGTCTCCAACCTCCCACCAACCCTCCCAACACAAACAAACAACTAACCCCCCTCCAGCTCCTACGGCCAATACATCCTCTGGCCCTACGGCTACGACTGCACTCTCCGCGCCGAAAACGACGCCCAGCACCGCTCCATCGCCACCCGCGCCCAGTCCGCTATCCGCGCCGTCTCCGGTACCGCTTACACCATTGGCCCCAGCTGCGCGACTCTCTATGCTACAACTGGTTCTTCGACCGATTACACTGATGTCACGGGTAATGCGACGTACTCTTATACCTACGAGTTGAGGGATAAGGGCACGTATGGGTTTACGCTGCCGGCGAATCAGATAAGGCCGACTGTGTTGGAGACTTGGGCGGGGGTTGCTAGTATGCTTGGGGATGCTTAGGGTGGGGGTGGGTGTTGCGGGTTTGTGTGAATTGATGTATTGAAGTTATGTTTTACCAAATCAACGATTTTTACACATAGACGTGGGTGTATTCCGCAGCATCACAAAGTCACGATTCAGACCCATTGCGCTTGCCCTTATTCGCTGACGGTACTTCCAAGGTTGGATACTGCTCGGCGCGCAACTTGACTCATTCGTGCCACCGCAGAACAGAGTCTACTGCCTAGCTGCGTCATTGTTGGGTTGCTCAAAGTTCAGCCACAGCTTCAATTCCTATGTGATAGGGTGTCTTCATGACTGCAAATCAGTACGAGGCTCAGCCCAAAGCTGGTAGGTGTGGGGGCGGAGCTACCTAGGCAGGTAGGCACGCTAAGAGGGTGGGCGCCTAATCGCGGGGGCGGTTGATGTCTATTCTTGTGAACACCATGCGCGAGCCCGGCGAATGCTCTCTAAAGTATCACATCGATGCAAGCGATTGCATATAGGGGTAATGTTGCTGCTCAGTCTATTGGTCCGCTTTCAGAGCCGAGCTTACCAAATTCTGTTGTATCACTACATCTGGCTGCACTCCGAACACAGGCCGCCTGAAACGTCACATCTTACTTGCAGACGGCAGGAGACCAACAAGAACAACCCTCCCGGAGTTCTTTCAGTATGCATCGACCCCTGCTTCTCAGTCTTACTTATTCTACAAGACAGTCCATGAGTCCGACCAGACTATGAACCGTCACCAGCTTCTCAAGCGATTTCATTCTTGAGGCGCTATGGAGAATACCAGAGAAGGCCATCCTCGTGGAGTTGAGCCTCAAGCCGGAGCAGACCGGCATCACGAGATGGAGACTCAGCAATTCCTACCATTAACATCGATAGCGCATCCCAGAGCGAATAGTGACCGTTCTCATCGCGCATCGTTCTCCAATGTTTCTAGTGTAAGCTTCGTGGAGCCTGGCGGCGAGCGCAAGTATTCATATGGCTTTACCTGCACTGGACGTCCTAACACACACACAGATCCACAATGGATGCCTTTTGCCCTACGCTGGTACTTTATAACTACCGCTGCCGGGTTTTCTATCACCTCCGCAGCCATCACATTCGCGTTGTATCGGTATTCCCATAACAACAACGGGCTGTGTGTTGAGGATTCAGCAATGCCGGGCTGGAAGTTCATACCCACGCTGATCGCTGTCGTCTATACACAAGTGACAGGAATAGTACTCGGCGCTGTAAAACGGACAGCACCTTTTGCAAGAATGGCCAAAGCAAACGGACGTATCCCAGTGGCCCGTTATACCTTGCTCGAAAAGGCTAAGCCATGGTGGACGACTCTCACTCGAGGCTTTCAGAGGCGAAGGAATGGCGGGTCGTGGAACTGGGTTACAATCCTGTCATGCAGCATTTACATCCTGGCCATACTTGGAATTTCGCCGATGTCCGCTGCACTATTGAGCACAAAGGAAATACATCAAGCAAGTCCTGGAACTCTTGTACGACTAGAGTTGCGCAACGGACTGATGCTACAGCCCCGAGCTGAGAGGGATACGTATCTGCGGACCATGGGCGCAATATTCCAAAATTATAGCTCCTCCCCCTGGATTACTGACGACTTTGTCATCTTGCCGTTCTGGTCACAAGATTCAGTTGATACTGGCTCACCTTGGGACTATAAGGTCCGAGACTCAGGAACTTGGGAAGCAAACACGACTGTTTTCCACGCCGATTTAATTTGCGCCAAACTGAATATGAAGAAGAAAGACATTTTCCTCCGGCATGCGCCCGAAGAATGGCAGGAAAGCGGAGAAAAGTTCTATCGAGCATCTATTCTCTTGGAGTCCGATCCTGGTTGCCAATTCAATCTCACTGTCGACGTGGAGTACTTTGCCCTTACTACGGATTGGATTCTCTGGAGCGACGTCAATAACATCACAATGAGCGACTACATGAGTCCTGATCCTACCGTTCGATTCAATGAACACTGCCACGAGAGTGAGATTATTATGATGAGTACGCCATGGTGGCCCAGGCAGGATATCACGCCGAACGACAGATTCCTAGAAAACATGACGATGCTTGCATATGCATGTCATTCAAGCCATAGCATGGCCACCATTCCAGCTCGTGCCACAGTCTCATCAGGGACATTGTCCGTCGAGTTCGACGAGAATCTCTTTCACCAAATCCGCACGCCAGTTCCCCCGACCGTTCTTGACCTACTCGAACTACGCAAGATTTATACGGACATTAAATGGAGCGATTTCGTCCCGCAAGAGTCTAAAACATCTGATACTAATATCGACCTATTTGATGTTCCCTTTGAGGGCCCAGCTGCGATCCTGGGTGTACCATACAACTTCAGTATCCCACGAATGATGGCGGATTCTCAACTGCCTGTGTTCGCTGCTCAATTTAGACGTCGTTTTTTCGCAGAAACTGTTGGTGGTTCTCTGCAACGCACGGAAGTTTTGGAAGAACGTTCTACGGCTGGTCATCGACTTGGATCTGTCCGGACAGTGCTAGTCAGCGGGCAAGCCGCCTGGATTATATGTGCTCTGTTACTCATTTGTTGCTTCTTCTTTCTGGGCATCCTGTGGGAGACACAAGCGGCTAAGACAACTCTGAACATTTGCCAAGATCCCAGTACATTGTTGGGTACAAGTGTATGGGGCAGCGGTGATGCGATAGTGTTGCGCAGTTTCACAAAACTCGACCTCGCCACAAGAAAGACGTTGAAAGAAGAACTTGCTGGAAAAGTCTTCTATTCCAAGCATGGCAATCTTCGAGAAAGTGAGGCCAACATCCAGGACGATCATGAGAGTACGTACTCACGGAACCGTTGGTGTATCGTCTGACACATGGCAGAAAAAGCAAGAGTGCAATCCTATGACATCGCACCTATATTACCTATGCTACGACTACGAAACCTGGCTTTTCTTATTCTTTATATCCTGGCTCTTCTTGCTGGAATCATAGTGCTTTACGTCTACGCGCGAAGGTCAGAACTTCATCAGGCTTTCTTCACCTATCGCGCCAACATCAAGCTTCTCGGTCATGCAAACACAGTATCGCCCTTATCTGTCATCCCGACTTTGCTTGCCATTGTTATCACCCTCTGGTGGGAGTCCGTTGACACCACTTGTAGGACGGTACAACCTTACATTAGCATGCAACATGATGCCAAGCGTCCTTCTCAGGGTATCGCATTATCCTATTTATCATAGTTCTGGCTATTCGCATCGTTGAAAGCTTTAAGGCACCGACATTGGCTGCTCTCACTTGTTACAACGACGACATTTCTGCTCCAAGCTCGTAAGTGCACATCTCAAGATTAAGCTGTAACTACAACTAATAGCTGTGATCAAGTCACAATCGCTATGTCCGCTCTCTTTGACTCGGGTAATGGCGTCTTGACTTCTTTCTCGGAAATGCCCCTAGCATTGGAGCTGCGAAGTGTTCCATTTGTGCAACAGATATCGGTAAACAGAAATCAACCTACCTGGCTGTTCAACTACACCATCGACGAGAAAAGTTTCTCCAGCGACCTTAGCGACTTGGTGTGGGACAATCTGCAGAGCCTGTCAAAAGACTGGATGTACACCGCTATTATACATACTGCGCTAGAGGGCCCAAAACCAGTGTGGAGCCAAGATGATTGGAGTTTTGTGCCTGTGTCTTCCGATGTGGAAGGCTTCGCCTCAGCTGAGAACAATAGTTCAGCAGATACGGGCGACCGCTCCGTGGAGAGCCTGAGAGTCCAAACATCCGCGATTCGTGCTCGCCTGGAATGCAGTGCTGTTGAGTGGTCCAGAAACACGAGCCTGTGGCTCATGTCGCAGAACGAAGGATATGGACGTAACATTACTGGACTTGACAACTATTTCACGATAGCACGAATCGTTGAAGATAGCGATTCCACGACTTGGCTTTCTACTCAAGGCAGCATTCCACCGTGCTGCGCCAATCTCACTGGAAATGCAACGTACAATCCAGCCGCAGTTGCTTATTGGACGGAGAATTGGCAGATGAATCATGACCCCGAGGACAGTCGCGGTTATCGTACATCTGGAAACTTTACAGTCAAATGGATCCGAGGCCCTGGAAAGGTTGAACGAGTCATCAAGGGTAGGCGCCGTAAGCCGGATGTATACATGTTCGTGTTTCCGGAGCCGCCCGCTATACAGGCATTGAACTGCATGCCTGTCTTTGAGTCGAGCCAAGCAGAAGTTACGGTCGAGCCCAAAACCGGTGTCGTACAGCACTATCGCATCCTTGACATTCCTTTTCGGGAGGATGTCGCTTGGTCTGATACATCCCAGTGGCGTGACCCTTACGAAGACGCGCGTTACACCAATTTCAATATCCATCATGACCCTGACTTTGAGGTCAATAGCTCTGAATGGAGGGCCAGCAGTTTCAAGTCTTATGACTACAGTATCAACACGACTACCAGGTGAGTTAGACTAAAAATATTGGTTTCGTTCCATCTAATAGACAACTACAGTTACGGGCCCTTGTTCGTGCAATGGCTCTTGAATGCCGCAAACATCGATGGGCCTTCCTCTAAGAGTCCACCCCGCACATACGAGAACTCCCCAAGACCCAACCCTCAATATTCAGATGGCAGGGCCTTCAATATGCGAGATAACACAACAGGTCTCAATCTCGATTTCATGTCGTACGCCGCTTACGCACAAGTGGGATTTGATCCTACCGCCCTACTAGATCCGGAAGTCTTGGCTAAAACATCCTCAACTGTCTTCTCGACCTTCTTTCAGCACTTTGTGAACAGCAACCTGTCTCGCGAATCCGGCGGTTATGTCTACCAACCCAGGGGCACGAAGCTCAAGATCAATCCCCCAATGGACGACATGCCAATCCAGTACATGCCTGACGGTTTCATAGCGCCAAAGTTCGAAGATATCATCCGCGATACCAATGCAACAACAACAGCAGAACTAAGCACCCAGGTCGAAGTTCTCCAAATGAATCTTGTCGCGTTCTGGATCGCCACAAGCATTTTGATCTGGCTTATCATCACCATCATCATTCTCGGATATGTGCAAAGAAAATACTACGGCGGTATGATGCGCAACATCGAATGCATTGCCGACGTGCTGGTTCTTATCGCTGGAAGCGAGCGTTTGCTTGAAGTTATCAGAGAAAAGGGCTTCGATGCTATAGTCAAGGAGGACAAGATGTTGACGCGTATGGGATGGTTTCGAGACGCTGATGGAACCATGCGATGGCGGATTGACTTGGTTGAGGAAAAGCAAGTCAAGGTGCAGCCTATTCGTTTGGGCCCTGGGTATGTGCCCGTCACGAATGGCACTGAGGAGCGCAACACAGATGTTGTGTCTAATCGTAGTGTTTCCACACTGGGCAACGACGAAGGCCATATGGATGCTGCGTCGGACGTTGGCGTCACCATGTCGGGATGAAGTCAAGTCAGCCGCCCGCGGACAATATGTCAAACTAATTGACGCTGCTCGTCCGGCGTCTACGTACTGTCAAGTCTAGACACACCATTCTGTGACGCTGCCGGTTTCCTGAAGCAGTAATGCATGAAATGCTTCCGGATGCTCTGACTTTGTCGCGAGTGAGCCCGGGGTTTGGTATACAGTATGGCAACGAATGCAGAGCGATTCATGGAGAAGAGACGAGGGAGAAGGCTGTCTCATTGAGGGAGCTACAGCGAGCGATAAGATAACGCGTTAGATCATGAAATGTTTTGGAACTTAGGCTAGTGTCACGGAGCACCTCTGCATCCCTTCATCATTGACCCAGTGCATCGGCTGTTCCTTCGGGATTGGACTCGGACTCCAATCTTGTTCCCTCCTCGCTAAGCTCATTAATTTCAGGATACAAGTCTCGGAACCATTCTCGCATCGTCTCGTCCCGCTTCCGACCCTTTAGTACCGGTGGTTCTGGTTTTAATGATAGCTCACTCAACGCATTCATCCACCGCTTGTCGTACACTTCCCGATGGGACTTTCTGTCCTTCTCTTTTCCATCGTATTCGGACCATTCCTTGTACAGCTCGGATTCAGATTTGCTGGGTCTGAACTCATGCAAGATGGCCTCACTGTCGGCGTTCGGACTTGACTGCTGCTTTGAGTCACACCGCTTGCGCCAAATGTAATGTGGCAAGCCACTTTCCCGTCCATGGGGGTCTTCGTCAAGCCCTTGGAGATCATAGCCGGGTAAGCATCCAGCGCCATTTGGGATCCGCTTTTGCAACATGCGAACCGTCCAGTGGACTTCAATGGCCAACGTCCTCTCATCCTCTGGGGGTTTTTGTTTTCCGACGGCATGCTGCTTTTGCGCACCAGAAAGAAGATTGCGAAATTTGCTGAAGAGACTGCCGACCGCGGACATAAATCGAATCGCAAGGGTTTGATGAGAGGCGGGGTCATATGTGAGCGTCCAGTATGGGTCGCGTGGGCGCACAAATGTACCTAGCCAGGGTTTCCACTTCAAAATTTGCCATAGTCCCCTATGTGAGGGCTGGAGGTACCCTTGAAGAATTAAGCATCATCACACGGATATTATTTTCGCAAGTAGCACTGGGGACTCACCTTTAGCTGAGCTGCAGGTAGTATAGACTGGCTTTTCGGTCTCATGGTCTTTTCCCATCACTGAATCCTTGAGACAATGCCACAAGCTAGGATTGAGCTTCGAATCAATCGCCAGAGGGACGTGATATCCAAATATCGCGAGGCTACTGAATCGTGCGCTGGAAGCGCTGCTTATTGCATCGACCATCCAAAGGAATGGCAGCATGGATAAACCCGCATCCTCATTGCCTCCACCTACATCGAAATGGCAGCCGACGAACAAGCATTGTCGCACCGTCCGCGTTTTCTCTGTGTGCGTTTCCTCGTAACCTCTACGGTAGGGCATGGGTTCGAATTCGAAGCGCCTTTCGTGGATAGACATCGCATGGAACGCCGATTCGACACATTTGGGTACAGTGTCCGATACAAAAGAAAACTCAGGTGCCCAGATGTGCAGACCCATGGCACTGACGGTATCCCATTCCGCCAGGACTTTTATGCCGGGTTTGAAGAGAAAATGATTCCTCTCAAGATCCTTGACAAGCTTGTCGAGCTTTTTCTCGTCCGCTTCTGATTTCTGCTGTTTCCACATGGTGAACAGGGTCTCTAGTAATGGAAGACCGTGACGTCGCAAAAGACCCACTTTGTCGATGAAAGCGGCCAGGCATCGAACCGTGAATCCTCCCCGGGAGAAACCAACGAGAATGATCTCATCCCACGCATCAGGCTGTTGAAGGTAATGAGTATGGCAGCTGTAATTCTGACAGAGAAAGTAATAGGCGTTGAGGATGTTGCCAGCTAGCCCTACAGCTTGTTAGATCATGACATGCACGTGGGAATTGGTTTTGCACTTGCCTTCGCCAAATGCTCCCTGAATCACATTGCCGATAGGAGTTGCTGTAGTACCGACACCGCTGCTGTAGTATACTACATGTGGCTTTTTGTTCTTTGTTTCATAATTTAGACACTGAGCTAGCCGCCCCACGTTCGTTACAGGGTATTGAGTACCGGCTGCGTTGTTCCAAGTGCCATCACAACAGACAACGATACATTTCCCTGTGGGCTTCTTAACAACTTTCGGCGGGATCATTCCATGGTATGACTCTCTGTCTATCACAATCCGTGTGGTAGATCTGGTGTCTACAGAGTCAATGTGAGGTATCGGAATGAGCAGCTGAACAAACACCTGGCCTGTTTCGGTATCTGTGTATATCTGTATGTCATCATTGTCGCTGGATCCGTTATTATCGTCGCTTTCATCTATAATGTTCGCTTGTTCCCTCTCTTCACTGTTGTTCAAGACTTGCTCAGTACACGGCTCCTGCTCCGCAACAGACGTCTTTCTGTTCAACAAGCTGAAGTGTCCCGTAGCAAACTGCTCGTCGGTTCGTGAGTGGTCGGTATCATGTCCGGAAGCTGCAGACAGATTTGGTGACTGATCAGTATGAGCATCCGACGGATCTGTATCCGGATTCGCCGCGCTGGTCCCTATGGGAAACATCGTGTGGACAGAAGTGCGGTAAGGAGGACTCCAGGATGTTCGTTGCGTGGATGTGAGCTCAATTCGTGTATTGGTGATACAGCTAGCGGAGTCTGGGGTATTCCTACAGATCTTGGCATCTACAGGAAGGATCAATTGACGGAGTTTCTTGTAGAGCAGTGCGACAAGTATAGAGAAGACAATATCGGAAGAGGGCAATCGAATTATGAATGATGAAGGTAAGAGACGAACAGCACGGCAGGCTACATTTCTCACACGCATATATAGCACTCCGGCCCCCCATAGGCAGGGATGCCATCCATTGGCCACCAAATGCAAGCCACCTTGGGGCCACAGCTCCTCATTCCCATATTGAACTGAGAAAAGGTCTAAATGAACTCAGCCTTGGGCATGGTACTCGCCATTGAACGGTGGCCCGAAGTGTGCCAAGATACACGATTGGTCGACCAGGTTTGCTCTTCGCGTACGCAGTCCATTTGCGGTTATATCGAAGCCGCCCGCATAAGCCACTCCAATGATATCTTGTTGTCAGATAAGTGATGGTTGCGGGCTGAAGTTTGGTACTTCGCCTGGAGCTTGACGATTCGATGCAAATATCGGGTCTGCCGTGAAGCTGAAACTGATAATACATGCGGCGAGTATGCTGACATGTTCTCGAGTCCCACGAATGATAGATGCAGTCCGTTGCATGGCTTTCCGAAGTTGCATTGAGCGGTAAATGCGCGACACCTCCGGTTCTTAAGAAAGCTCGCCGGGTCTGAGGAAAGTTGATTTCAACTGGAGACGCATTTTTTTAAATGATCTAGCAGAGGTGAAGTTTCATCAGTGCTTCTGTAATCGAGTGATGTTGAGTCTGCGCAGCAGTTTCATCCGCGGTTGTGCGCTGAAGCCGGTACATTTGCCACTCTGGCGATCGCCAGCCTGACGACTGAGCTTCCAGCTAGCTCCGGTGAAGCGAAGGGCCAGCGCTAAGCCAAGTCCGGCGAAGAGTCACACGGATTTGCATGGAGTATGGGTCAACGCCTAGCAGTACTGTGATAATCAATTGCCAGTAGATGTAAGCCGTTTATTTCCGTGTTCAATATTGTAAGACGCTCCCGTGCGTCTGACAATGCATGCAAGTCTGAGTTAGAGGCGCACTCTATTTATTCTGTACGCATGCAAATGAGCTCTGTTTGCGACAATGTCTCAACGATTCAAAGAAGCCTTGAAGTCCGCCCAATCCCTTAATGGTGCGCTCAGTCTAGTGGCAAGTCATTGGGAAGGCCAATCCGTGTGAAGGCGCGGGAAAGTGCCCCAGTGAGCTACAGCATTAAGCACCTAGCTAGTGTTGCATCCTTACTGCAAGAAAGAAAGAAAGATTGCGACAAAACAGTTGGTCTAACGAAAGACAAGCAGTTACAGTATTTGACCGTGAATGATCCGCTGTCTCACCGTATGTGGCACAAATCTAATGTGTGAACAAACTTGAAGCTCTGCGTAAGAGCCAGACAATTGACCCACATGGCGGCCAAGATGAGGAGGTGGAAGATCTGATGTGAGCTGCCAAACAAGTCGAACTTGCCCGGAGCAAACCTTTCGGGAGGCCGAGTCTGCACTCATTGGTCAGTTCACGTATTCATTGACACGCAAGTGCGAAAGATTCCACTCACTGCGAAGATTAGAGTGCCGGCTGCATACAAGGAAAGCTCGATCAGGTACCACTTCATTCCCATGTAATCAAACATGTACCTGGAACCGTGCAAGCCGACGCCATGTAGCAAGGGAACGAAGGCTGAGAGACCAAAGAGGAAGAAGGCGACCACCCTCAGGGTGCGCCAGCGCAGGGTTCTGAACTTCGGTATTGAGATCAGAGCAACGCAGGCCGAGCCCGAGACGATGGTCTGGAGAAAATATCAGCATATCGCGGGAGCCGTTCACTCAACTTGACTCACAATGACCCAGTGTAAGATCTGGAAGGCCGGTTGACAGATGAAGAAGTAGTAAATGGCCGCAACAAATGTGCCAGCAATGATGACGGCAATACCAGTCAGGTCCATCACATGCCACAACTGCTCCACCTTATGCGAATGGGGTTGCATCAAGTGGTAGACAGCGCTGGAGAGCAGACAAAACTCGCAAGAGAAGAAGAAGATGGTGAACATGACCCAGTCTGCCGGTAGCACATCGTGGTACTGGGGCTCGGCCAGAATCCGCATGTAGATGTATGCGACAGGCCATACCAGTATCGCGCCGATCAAGTGGGTGTATATGTTGCAGGTCTCGTTGTGGAGGTAGGTCAGACTGAGGAAGATGTCTTTGTATTCGGGCTTCTCTGGGCGATAGCCAGTATGGATGAACTCGTTGTCTCGCGACCAGTCTTGAATCTCTTCGCAAGTCAGGAGCTTGGGACGTCTTGGTGAATGAACGGTGTGCTTCTCTATGGTGCCCATATCGGCGGCTGGCGGCGTCGGTTTCTAGCTAGGATCTACGTCGGGTGCCTCTTCTGCGTGCTCGGAAGTGCAGTGGTGTGAAGGCGTATCGTAATATCTGTGGCCAAATGAACCAAAGTGTAAGTGTTTGTAGTCAACCGGGAGTAATGCGTCTTTGACTCAGATTGGGGCTGGGTCCTGGTCCTGGTCCGGGCTGGTCATAGAAGTTCTATTCCGGTGTGCGGATGATGGAGATAGCGCGTAGGGAAATGGCTCGTAGCCATTTCGCACCAGATATCAAATGAGAGATCCATCACGACACCGATACCCGTCTACCTGATTGCAAACGCTGATGCGTTCAAAGTGCAAACGACGGGTAACAGGTGACACCAAATCTGGCTCGAGTTTATGTCGCATTATGTAATTGCTGCACGCAAGCTATTATATATTAGCAAGTAAGTAGAGATCAAGATGGCCGTTTGTGTAGTATTAGACTCCCGTTGTGGCCAGCTTTGGAAGTGACGAGTGAAGAGTGACGCGTTGGCTCGAGGTTGGGCAACGCGCACGGGCGGGCGTCAACCCCGCCGAGGTCAACACCAATGGACTCGCGACTAAACAGGGCGCCATCATGGCCACACTACACCGCGAGCGCGTCGAACACGCGTTGAACGAGCTGCTGGTCCGCATCGTGCCCGAAGACCCTAACGAGAACGAAGACGAGGCCAACCAGCGCTTCGAAGATGCCTACGAGTTTGCCCTCGACGAGCTCACGACTGCGGGCGATGCTTCACTCGTTCCCGACGTCCAGCACATCGCCAGCCTGATAGACCGCAAGGGTAATTACAGCGAGGTAGATCACGTGTCCTCCGCTAATATGTGACAGTCTCGGGCCCCAATAATGACCAGCGCAAGAGCGCGCGTCTGCACAACCTTCTCTCGCGCCTAGAAACCCAGAGCGTCCTCGACCAGAAATGGCGCATGCTATACTTTCTCTACAACCTGTCCGACAACGCCGAAGCCCCTCATGAGCCGCCGTCCGCCCAAGATAGCCGCAGCTTCTCGCGCGAACCCACGACGCCTTCCAAGCGCCAGAGCGTGGCAGCCTCTTCCCACGCCATCCAGGACGCCTTTGCAAAGCCTGGCCTCGCCCAGCTGCCTGTCAATGCCGGATCGCCCAAAGCACCCACATCTACACGTCCAGCTTCGATAGCTGAGAAGCCAGAGAAGCGAAGACGGCCTGACACCGCCAAGGAGCAGCAGCAAGCCAATGGGGGACATGTGGAAAAGGCAGAGACGGGGCCCTCTGAGCCGACTTTGCTGCGGGAGCTGCCTTTCACACTCCAAGGCTATTCATCGACGAACCTCGCATTCCCCTCGTCGACCGCCCTCAAGCTTCCCACGACCCTCCCGATACCCATCGTCAGCCTCTTACACACCCTCGCTGAACCCGCCATACTGTACAAAGGCTTGGCCGAATTCGTCGAGGCGAGCGATGGCGGCCTCATCGAACAGAGCTTCCGCGCAGCTCTGGCGAAGGAGCTGAGAGCATACCTGGGCCTGGTCGCGACCTTGGAAGGACAAATCAAGAGAGCGCTGGCACAGCTGAACGAGGCATCAACACCTCAGGGCGTCAGCAAGGCCGGCGTCACCCTCAAGCGATGCGTCATCTGGATAAGAGAACCGACCATGGGCTTGCGCTTGATGAGTCTGATGGTCGAAGAATCCAAAAGCAAGAAGGGCGGCGAGCTGATTGCCCTCATACATTCCTTCTCCCTCAACCACGGCGACCCGTACGTCATGGGCTTTGCCGAGCGCCTTCTCTCCGATGTCACGCGACCCTTCTACGACATGCTCCGGCAATGGGTTTACGACGGCGAGCTCGCAGATCCCTTTGGCGAATTCTTCGTCTCAGAACAGAGTGAGGATGACATCCTCGAGGCGAACGGCAACGAGGGCAAAGGTGGCGCAACGAGTGTCTGGGAAGACAAATACAGGCTGAACGACAAAATGGTCCCCACCATTGTTACCGACGACTTTGCCAAGAAGGTCTTCCTCATCGGCAAAACCCTCAACTTCATTCGCTATGGCTGCGGAGACGCAGCATGGGTCGACACATACTCCAAGGAAGCCTCAAAGGAGCTGCAGTACGGCGACACTGCGAATCTCGAGCGCTCTATCGGAGATGCATACAAGACAACCATGGCTCGTCTCATTGACCTCATGGGCAACAAGTTCAAGCTGTTTGACCATCTACAAGCTCTCAAGCAGTACATGTTGCTAGGGGCTGGCGACTTCATTGCCGTCCTGATGGAATCACTCTCCTCCAACCTCGATCGACCAGCCAACACGCAATACCGCCACACACTTACTGCCCAACTTGAACACGCCGTTCGCAACTCCAACGCCCAATTTGACACCTCAGATGTACTGCGTCGCCTTGACTCTCGCATGCTGGAGCTATCCCACGGCGAGATCGGATGGGACGTCTTTACGCTGGAATATAAGATTGATGCGCCTGTCGATGTCATTGTCACACCATTCGGCTCCAAGCAATACCTCAAAGTTTTCAACTTTCTATGGCGTGTCAAGCGCGTCGAGTTCGCTCTTGGTTCAACATGGCGTCGATGCATGACTGGTGCTCGTGGTGTTCTCGGCACCGTAGCCGATAAACTTGGCGCGGATTGGAAGAAAGCACGTTGCGCAATGGCTGAGATGGTTCATTTCGTTAACCAGTTGCAACACTACATTCTCTTCGAAGTCATAGAGTCATCATGGATCGATCTACAGAGAGCGCTCAACAAGCCGGAGAGCACGCTGGATGACATGATTGAAGCGCATGCGATATACCTCAACAACATCACGCGCAAAGGTCTTCTCGGAAGCTCTAGTATCGACTTCACGGGGCAGCTCCATGAGTTGCTGAAGACGATGCTAGCATACAAGGATGCGGTGGATGGCTTGTACTCCTTTTCAGTCGCTGAGTTCACCCGCAGGCAAGAGCATGCGGCCAAGATCGAGACGCGTACAGCAGCAGGTCGATGGGGTCTCTCTGAGAAAGATCGCTCATCTTCAGATCCCTTTGCTCCCTCGCACTCTCGCGCCGCTTCTCGCCAGGACGAATCGCCTTTCCCACCCCCGCTCCTCAAGATCGGCATGACTGGTTCGGCCGAAGACGACGTTCTGCCAGCCCTACAAAAGCGTTTGAGTCAGTTGACTGAAGACTTCCGGGCAAGAATCAGCATCTTGCTCGGAGACTTGGTGCATTCGCCTGACGGTGAATTGAAGATGCTGGCTGTCAACATCAACTTCAACGATGTGTACAAGCCGGAGCGAAGACGTAGGAAGGGTTCGCAGAGAAGAGAGAAGGAAAAGGAAACACCAAGGGTTGCACCTGCTGCAGGATGAGGCGATGCATAAGACGGCGTTCGATGCTCTATTTGATACCCGACTACTTGATACCATCCGTAATACCATCTTTCTATGGAAGACAGTCTCGGTAGTTTGTTGCGCAAAGCGTGATGCAATGTAATATTCACATCACAAGCTGATGAACCCTGGCTGAGTTTACTGAAGCGCATAGGTGGGTCAACGAGGATGTAGGGACATATCCGATAGCGCGCGCGTGTCGCTCGGATCTATCACAGGTGGGGTTGCGCCATCATAGCGCTTAGTCAAGCTTCGTGGCGCTCATCGGGCCGTTCCTTCTTGATGCTTATGCTTGAATGCGCCGAGCCTAAAGTTCGATGTACGAAGACAGTAAATGTCTCACAACCGTTCGTACAAGTATTTTACTTGTCCTGAGAGTGTATTACTTGCCGTGAGTGGCAGCCGCCAGCATCCGACCTTCACGGCACGCTCAATAATCACAACGCTCGCTCGGCCGAGGTGATGGGCACAGGGATCTCCATGACTGCGTCATCCATACACAACAACTTCGCGCACTACAACTAATCTTAACCCTTCGTGATGACGCGTAGCATCTTACACCAGATATTAATCACTTGCAGTGACTAGATCAATTTGGCCTCCGTCCATATAACGGAACAGACTCTCCATGGATGATTCTAACGAGCCGCCCCCCTGCTGTACGTTGCGCAACTTTCATGCCTCATGCTCCACCGCAATTGTTCGGACAACGTTCGGCATGGCGACAGGACATGCTTCCGGTGAAACATCACCGCATTTCGCGGCCGCGCTCTTCGCTGGCATAAGCTTTCGACCTTACCTGCTAGCGCCCGCCGAAGTATATCTAGCTCGTAGTCCCTCAGAAAAGAAGACATCAATCTCACTTGGAACCCAGGGCCGATCTTGTTATCACTCAAAGTTATCCGAATCAGCACTCACGTATATTACCCATCGATACACGCTATCTCACTCGTCGCTGCCTGTCGAACCGCATCTCTGGAAACAACGCTAAACACATCGCACCATCCACATTCGGCATCGATATATGACCTCAACCATGGCAACAACACATCAAAAGCAGCATACAGGAGGACAGCAAAATACCGTTGCCGATTACATCGACTCTGCAGCTGAGGCTGTTCCTAACTCAACATGGGCTATAGTCCCGCGTTCAAGCAGCAGCCTGGACGAAGGATGGCACCACGTCACATTCGCCGATCTTGCGCGTGCAGTGAACAACATGTCGCGATGGATTGAGCGAACTTGTGGTGTTGCCGAAAAGGTGGGCCAGACAATCGGCTATATGGGGTGAGTGGGGAATCTTCTGTGCTTGTCGGTCATCAATGTTGCATACTTACGCATTGCATAGCGCGAACGATCTACGCTATCTCGTGGTGCTAGCAGCATGCCTGAAGACAGGATACGTGCCGCTATTCACATCGCCCCGAAACTCGCTCGACGGTCAGAAGTCACTCGTGGAAAAGACAGACTGCACCATCTTCTTGACCACAGTCGATATGATGCCGCAGGTCCAAGCAATCAAAGGGGCGGTGCCTAGTCTCAAGATCTACGAGGCGCCGACTACCAAGGAGCTGCTTGATCCAAGTCTTCCCACG